TTGTCATGTGGATAAAGCTGTCTGCTGGGGAAGGGGTTGAAGCAGAGTCAACAGACAGGGAAGACTGAGTGGAGAGCAATGGAGGGACTGGACTGGGAAAATGGTTGTGATGTGAGGACGGAGGAAAGAGGGACGAAGCAGAGAGAGGGGGTCGCAAGAAGAGATGAGGGCCTTGCATGCAGCAGCGCAATCAACACGGGCATGCACGCAGCAACGCCCTTAACACGGGAATGCACGCAGCAACGCCCTTAACACGGGCAGCATCCAGCAACGCCCTTAACACGGGCAGCATCCAGCAACGCCCTTAACACGGGCAGCATCCAGCAACGCCCTTAACACGGGCAGGGCGTGCTATCAAACGCGGGGGCGTGCTACTACCAGCACTCGAGGCTCCCACCCGTGCAGCTACCCACCCGTGCAGCTACCCACCCGTGCAGCTACCCACCCGTGCAGCTACCCACCCGTGCAAAGCCTTTTCTTGCAGCACCGTGACGTGTTGAGGCTGGGGTAGTTCTGGAGCGAAGGAAGGTGGGTGCGCGGGACAAGACAAGACAAGCGAACGTTTGGCGTTTTGGCGAAAACGGTGACATATATTTATTGTACATATGAATGGATATTTCTAATGGAAGGTGGACGAAGAAAATCACGAGTCGTGCAGCGAGGAGTCGTTTAAAACACGAAATGAACCGTGCGAAAAAACGGCCCTTGCGACGAAACGAACCGTGCGACGAATCGACACCTACGACGTACCAAGAAGCAGATGGGGCACTCGTCTAGGTCGTCGCTCGGTTCGTCCCGGCCCGCACAGCGCGGCGCGAGCCTCACGGCCATGTCGTGGTGAGAGCGTTTGCGCGCCGAGGCGCGGATGCTAAGCGCGAGGCGCGGATGCTAGCGCGAGGCACGGATGCTTGGGTGCGGTGCTCGATGCTCCCTCGTGGATTATAGCTACATCAAGCTCGGAGCTTGCAATAGAAACAAGTTCTCGCGGGCCTGATTTGAAATCACAGGTTCTCTGGGCTCTGCTTCGTCTATGCCGCCCTATTTACGATACCAGCTTCGCTACAATATCCCTGCTCTCTAAAATATATATTATGAACTTCGATCTTATGAGAGCACATGGAGGTCTGCTTCCTTTTCGTTGCGGCCATGCAGGGCGCGGGGCTGCCATCCACACGAAATGCTGAGAATATACGGTAAATAACGGAGCAATCCAAAGGCGTGGAGCATCTGGATTTTTTTCCAAAGGAACCATCTGCCTGAACGGTTGAAATGGTATATTTTGATAAATGCAGCGCTGAAGTAGGTTTTAGTAAGCTTCAGAGTGGAACTCTCCGAACTGTACCCTTCGTTTGTAACAAAACCCCAGATGTTCCACGCCCTAATCGCAGTCGACGGTAAGGGCGTGTGAGGTCGGATTTGGAATTCAAAAAAAAGTGCGAACTTCGTGTGGTTACCGTTTCGCCAATATCGCATAAAGCTACGAGCGAAACTTCGTCAACTTTGGGTTTGGCAACATGCGAACTGCAAACTTGAACAAGACTCGAGTTTTAGTTGTGAACGTGCTTCGGCATGTTCACATTCACGTGTGTGATTTCCCGCACGTTCGAGCATCTGGCGAAATGTGCGAGCGACTCACGAGTAGCAACAGTACAACAACGAACTCACCACAGCCTTCGTGTACTGAATGGAGGCCACGTGGCGAGAATCGGGTAACCTACTTTGTAGAACCGGGTAACCTACTTTGTAGAAATGCGGTTCGGTGCGTTTTTACAAGTTCGAATACGCGCACTCGACCTTGTATATGTGTGTGCTTTTCTGCAGTGTTGTGGTCCAGATGTGCGAACCCCGATACAATGAAAGTCGAGTTTGGTTCGACATATGTTCATGTAGCACAACTCGCCCTTAAAATGTAAACTTTCACAAATTCCACCGATCACACGCGCCCTAAAGTCGGACTTCCTTCCTGCTCGCATCGCTTGCGTGTGGGCTTTGTAGGAGCAGCTGAGTCGTAGGGAAATATGCCAGTACATACAGTACATGTCCACCCTAATTTGTGGATATTTTCATTGCACTTGCAAAAAGCAGAGACAGCCACTACCGCCGCTTTGCTCCATACCAACTCCTCAGCGCTCCTCTCTGCTCCACTTTACCTGTGACACATCGTCTTTGGCAGACCCAAAACAAAGATAGAATGGACTGAAATGCACTAGCGACCACTGTAAACAGCATGAGCAGAACCAATGCCAGCACCACTGCCACCCCCACTGCCACCCCCACTTCCTCCAGCCCCACTGCCACCACCACCGCCACTATCACTACCACCCCCGCCAGCACTGCCAGCATTGCCACCACCGGCCCTGTCTGCTGCGGCCCTCTGCTCTGCTTCACTGAGGGAAAGCGCAATTGCAAGATTCATCTGCTCCTCGAAATCATCCAGCACTGCCAGAAGCATTCCCAACGGCGCCAGGGATGCAGATGCCGGCGCAAGCACAGGTGTGCA